AACTAATTATCTACTTACTTTTCCTGCAGCGAAAATTTGGCTGAAACTATACCGCAGCAACTTTTTCTGTTTGGAATGCATGACACTTGGTTCGGCTTGGTCTTGTGTTTTGCAATTTTTATTCATCTGATTTGCACTGTTTTTCACTTTCTTTGCATTTTTCATGATGGAAAACCGAATTTTGACGATAAAATTTGGGAAAATTGTGATTCGAAAGCGATTTTTATTGCAAAGTACTTGAAACCAATTGGAAGAACCGTAAACAAAACATGTGCAGACAGTGAAATCGATGTGCAAACAAAGTTGGTACTGTCAAGTGACAGCTAAGATCGACTTTCAGCGCGGTGAGTGAGTTCAATACAATTAATTGGAAGTGGAGCCAATTCAAATCAGTTGTCATCGTTGCACAAATGCTGAATAATAAAGTATTCCTTGGATAAATTTATTTATCCATTTCATATATATGAAGTATTTTTGTCGTTGAAATATTACTGTTTTATGGTTTTTGACAGATATTTTCGGTCTGATTGTTTAGACATTTTTGTGAATAATCAAACCTCTTTCGATTACCGCCTTAATTTGTCGATTCTGTCAATGAAGTTGAAATGTTAAGGAGAAAATAACTTAATCGCACCGTTGCAAAAATCGCATTTTCAGAATTTGTTCGTTTTATTCAATGCTTTTTGAAAATTTAATTAGTTCAAACGTTTTTTTCACTTTATTTCAACAGTTTTGCACTTAAGTTGATCAGTGTGCGTTGATTAAAATTTAAAAATTCGAATTCGACCTTGGATTTTGTTAGAGTTTTGGAAGTTCGTGTAACTTTCCACTTGTTCGTCCATATAAAGGTAAAGGGTTTTTTGACTGCTCTGATTTAAAGAACGCACTCAGATTGTGTCGATGTTTTTCATGATTGATTTTAATCCTTTCGAAATAGATTCAATAATGAAATAAAGTATTGACAAGGAAGTGGACAGTTTTGGTTGGCATGGAAGTTCTGATAAAGTAACAATTCTGAATAGAAAATGTTCTATTCAGAGTGTTCTTCCAAATTTGTTTTTTTTGGTTGCAAAACATGCAATGTTTTTCACTTGACGTTGATATGTCACGACGACAGCGCCACTCGAAAATCAATACGCATTCCATTCACACAATGACAAGCAGCCCATTACATAATTGTTATTGGGAAGGCACATTTTCATCAATCACACGATTTTCATTGTCTCACCAGAATATCGCTAAATTTCAGTTCAGAAACTGTTTCATTCTGATTACCGAGATACTGATTACTTATTTTAAGTTGGATTAAGCATTTATTTTCCATTTCTGCATAATTTTTTCGATTAAATTGAACAAATAACCTCATTGTGTGGCTGTACTTTGGAAACAGCACATTCTGATTAAAAAAATCCATACGGGTAAAAAATCTCAATCATTCCACCATTCTATTCATTTTATACATAAATCACATCCAAATATAAATGAATTCGTTTCCACAGCATTAGATTTTGGAATAATGGACAACCAACATGATAGTGGACACGTTCCATTAAAAAAGAAGCCAAATGATACTCGCACTGTGATCACGGAAAGGATGTCCGATGTTATGGAGATAAAACAGGAGTGGATAATCAAAGAAGAGCCAGAAGATCATGCCGAAGTACCGATGGTATCCATGCCAAGACCAAGTTACAGTGAATCAGCAGTTAAAATCGGCGTCGAGGTAGCAAACAACGGGCGGAACATTGAAAATTTGTATGAAACGCATGTGAAACTGGAGGTCAAAGCAGAAGCTGAAGCCGACAGCAAAGTTGAATCGACGCAAAAAGAAAGCAATCAATCAGATGGGAACGACACATCGAAAAGAAACACTGTGAAGAAGCACCAGGCGAAAATAGGTAATGCGACACCGTCATCGTTTGGAAAGTCGAAGCAAATGGATGTTGGGTTGAAAGGCAGAGCCAGAGCGGTGATCAATGCAACGCGTAAAAAACAGTATGGGACGGAAAAAAACAAGAAACAGCACAAGTGCCCATCGTGTGATCATGTCGCACGTTACCCAGCTGGATTGAAGAGGCATATGTTGACGCACACTGGCGAGAGACCGTTCCGATGCAGCATTTGCTCCAACAGATTCACACGAAAGACCGGTCTAAACTATCATTCAAAACTTCACACAAATCCTCGTCCGGTGAAATTCCAATGTTTGGTTTGCGCCCGTTACTTCTCTCAAGAGGTGGAAAAGCAGCAGCACGAATTGAAATGCCAAAATCGACGTTACGAATGTTACTTGTGCAAGAGCTACGTGACATTTCTTAAATCTAGTATGGTGTTACACATGCGTGTTCATCACACCGGTGTAAAACCATTCCGATGTGAAGTGTGCAAAAAATGCTTCGTGCTGAAATTCAATCTTAAACGCCATCTAAAACACAATCATAAATAATGTAATACTTGATCTAATTGATCAAAGTTGAAAATCTGTAGTGAAACAATACTTACACCTTCAATCGATTTCGAAGCTTACAATGGAAACAACCAAATTCGGATTTAGATTCAATTCTGACAAATAACCTGGAACTAATTCATAGTGAAGTTGTTAAAAGTCTTGGATCCTTAGTGTTGTCCCAGTCAATGGACGGACCTTCTTTGCTTTTCAATAAAAAAAAATGGTAGAAAATCTAAATTGAACGAATTATAACTTTTCATTTCTATGTTTTTAGAATTAGAACTAACATTAACTGGAAATTAAGTACAGAAGAATTTATTGCTTTGTTCTA